GCTCATTGTTGTCCCACCAAGTGGCTGCTGGGTTCAAATTGCTGACCTTGTGGTTATCAGCCCAACACATAACCCACTGTGCTACCAGGACTCCTGATTATGGCAATTACGATAACATGCACAATCCAGAAATAACAGCAATAAGAAACAAAAAAATAATTTATGAATAGATACATAGATAGATGCATATGCTAAAGAGGTTTGGGAAGGCATAAGGGAGCATGACCATTTGCAGATATACATTTTGCTGTGGGTGTTTCTGCATACATAACTGTAGGCGTTGCATGTATTCCAATATATGAGACTTAGAAGCACACAAGGGAAATGTCTTCAATATACCTAACACTTCATAGGATGGAATTCCTGTGTGAAGGACCATAGATTCAGGAGATCATCTACATCAATTTCTTTTCATCATTTTCTTGGGGGCTCGTACGGCTCTTATCACAATCCATCCATCCATCCATTGTGTCAAGCACATTGTGCATAGGTTGCCATCGTCAATTGTTACATCTTCATTCATACAGATAATTTTCTGGGCCCTGTTTTGGTGAGTAGAGTCCGGGATCTTAAAAGGTTCTAAGTAGTCATCTAAAATACAACTATTAGTCTTTTCCTCTCTAGAGCCAAGGAAGAGAAAGAATCTAAAATCTCGTGAGGGAATTTGACCAAAAGACTAATGGACTACATGAACCACAGTTTACGTGACCATGCGGTCAGAAGAACTAGATGTGCCTGGCTGCCACTACTGACCACTCTAATTGGCGTCATAACAAAGGGGTTCCAACAGAGCAGAAGAACACTGTAAGACAATCACATTCACAAGAAAAGATCAGACTTACTGGTTTGACAGAGAATGGAGGAATGTGGTCCAAGGCCATGCTCCTGACCTGGAACTGAAAGCCTTCCCCCAAACAACGTTTCAGCCAACCATGAGACAGGCCTATAAAATAATAGCCAAGAGGAACATGTTCCTGAGCACAATTCCTTATACAAGATCAAAAGGGCATTTGCCCCAAAGCAAAGATGAGAAGCAGAAAGGGGTTACAAATCCAGATGAAAGAAAAAGGGGACCCCAAGGTAAAATTAGGGTGCGTGTTGGCACATGGTGGTAAATGCAACAAAAAAAAAAGTCATGGAATTCTTTACGTACAAATTATCGCATGGGAAGCGAATTTCGTCTGTTAACTTCCACTGGTTGTTAGATGCTGTGGAGTCAACCCCGTGTACAACACAACACTGTCCTGTCCTGTGCCAGTTGTGATGCTTGGGCCTAACGTTGCGGCCATGGTGTCAACCCCTGTCAAGGAGGGTCTTCCCGCTTTTCCCTGTCTACTTTCCTAAGGACGATGTCCTCGTCCAGGCACAGGTCTCTCCTGCGAATGTCTCCAACGCCTATGACACGGAGAAAGCGCCTTGATTCTGGCTCTGTTTCTTCCAAGACGGTGCTTCTGGCAATCCATGATATTTTCAATATTCTTTGCTAACATAACCATAATTCAGACTCATCAATTCTTCTCCAGTCTTCCTTTCACGGGCATAGGAGGTGGTAGAAAATACCATGGCTTCTGTCGGTCAACTTTAGTCCGTGTGTTTCAAAATCCTTGCTCTTTAAAGAAATCTTCTGCAGCAGATTTGCCCTCTAAATGCGTTGTTATTTCTTGACTGCTGTTTCCATGAACATTGATTGTGGCTTCAAGCAAACTGAAATCCTTGACAAGTTCAATCTTTCTTCCCTCTCTCAGACTGTTGTCTTTTAGTCCAGTTGGGAAGATGTGGCTTCTTTTTTTTGTTTTCATGAGGACAAGTTTAATATTTCTTAAATTATGGTGGTTTTTTTGGTTTTTTTGTTTTTTAACATTTTATTAGGGGTTCATACAACTGTTATCGCAATCCATACACACATCAATTGTGTAAAGCGCATTTGTACCTCGTTTCTCAAAACATTTTCTCTCCATTTAAACCCCCGACATTAGGTCCTCATTTTTCCCCTCCCTCCGCGCTCCCCCCTCCCTCATCAGCCCTTGATAGTTTATAAATGGGTGTTTTGTCATAAGATGTGGCTTCTTGACATGGAGTCGCAACCATATTGAAGGCTTTAGACTTTGGTTTTTATTAACAAGTGCCTTCCTTGCCTTCCTCACTTCCAGCAAACACGGTTGTGCCACCTGCATGCTGCAGGTTGTTCACTAGCCTCCTTCTCCCGTTCTGCTGCCCCATTCTTCTTCACATAGTCCCACTTCTCAGATTACTGAGAAGCCTAGAGATTGCGTAAGTATGGTGAGAGGCCTTTCCTGATTTGAAACCATGTAGTATTCCATTGCCCTTGGTCCATGTACAGACTCTATGTGAGCACAGTGAGGGCTCAATAAAAGATAATAATTCTACCCATAACACTAAACAAAACTTCCCCAGTGCTATGAGTCTCTCCAGTCTTGCATTTAGTTTGTTTTCATTTTCATCCACTTCTATGGTATTACTGTATCTGTATACAGTGAACCCTCGCCACTTCGCGCTTCGACTTCCGCGGCTTCACTCTATCGCGGTTTTTGCGTAACAGCGCATGCTCTGTCATGACTGCCACTGATTGGCTCATACTGTACACGCTTCTGTCTGCATCGCTACGTATCGGAGCTACGTATCAGATGCATTTTTGCTTTTGTACAGTGTACTGTAATTGTTTGCGATTTTTAAGAAATTTTATCTAAGCCCTGTGATGGCTCCTAAACGAGCTGCTTCTTCTAAGCCTTCTGACAATAAAATTAAGCGCCAGAGGAAGATGCTCACCATCCAGGAAAAGGTAAAACTTTTGGATATGATCAAAGATGGCAAGAAAATCGTGGAGGTTGCACGCCATTGATTACAGTATTTGTAAGAACTATGTATAATAATACTGTATGTGAAATATGTAATACTGTAAACTAGATGCCATAAATAATATAATAAATAATAAATGATAATTGTAACGTCCAAAATGTTTTACTGTATTTTCCCTTTTTCGTTTAATAAATTGGGTAATACGAGTGTAATGGTGACTAACGGGTGTTTTTTCATGTCCTCTATGCTCTAACTATGAAAATATTTGATTTACAAATAAGGAATCCTACTTCGCGGAATTTCATTTATCACGGTAGGGTCTAGAACCGATTAACCGCGATAAACGAGGGTTCACTGTATTAGAGAAAATACCATTGTAATTACATTTCACGGGTCTCGTGCTTCTGAAAGTGGCCTATGTTTGCCAGTGGAATTTACCATAAGAAGACTTGAAAGGTGCCCATTGGGCAGAAGTGATCTCAAGCAGTGGATACACGGATCGTGTTCCCGAGACATTCCGCTTCCTTGGGACTCAGGAGCTGTGACTCCTTTCTTGGCTTCCAACACCTCCTGCCTTCTTGAAGTAAGGGGTGTGCTGGCCTTCGTTCCTCAAGACTATCGGTTGTAAGGCATACTGCCCGGTAGTAGACTCAATGCTGTTTAAAATGCCTACAGTGGTTTCTGAGATTTCTCACCCCTTACCGTCAGCAAGAAGACTTCATTCAGGAACCCTCATCGCTTCCCACAAACAAACAGGAAGCTACAGTTTTGGAGAGAGTAACTCGCAAAACTCACTCTCATCGAGTCAATGCCTACTCACGGGTAACCCTGTCATGTAGAACTGCCCCTGTGGGTTTTTGAGACCCTGTCTGTCTTCCAGGGAGCCCCTGATGGTTTTGAAATGCAGAGCTTGGGGATCGCAGCCTAATGAGCAACCACTCCACCACCAGGGCTCCTGCTTCGAAGAGAATAGGGAAGCATAAATAGTCTACAAACAGAAATTCCTCTTCTGTTGCAAAGAAAAGGAACTGAAAGGTGTTTGTTTGTTTTTTCTAACGTCTTCCCAATGTAACCGCCTGGTGAAATAACCAATCAGTATTTTAGGGTGAAGTCGTATCATAAGTTGCTGAGTAACAGCTCAAATTTAAGATTCTATTACAAGTAAAGTATCTTTGAATGGTGCGAGTTAGGAGAAGGTACCCCTTTTACAGCCACTGTTCTCAGTAACCACTTCCTGTGTTCCCAGATGTAACCTTCAATCGCTTGCCAATTTTAGAAGCATGGGAACTTATCCCTGTTCCTTTGATAGTCTGTATGAATAGCCTATTTCCAGGGGCCCCAAGTTCTTTGGAGATGTTGGGCATCCTGGGGCCTACAAAACTGGAGGAGAGGCATGAGACAATTAACTGTTCCCTAGTTCTGCCAGTCTTCTGGCATTATTCATAGTCGCACAGTTTACCTGCCATTTAAATAGTTTCCTGTCTCTAAATAAGCTCCCAAGTCTCCCTGGTGGGTTAGTGGGTTATGTGTTGGACTAACCATAGCTCACCACAATGTCAGTAGTTCAAACCCACTAGCTGCTCCATGGGTGAAAGATGAGATTTGTCCATTCCTATAAAGAGTCATATTCTAGGAAGCCCACAGGGGCAATTCTACCCTGTCCGATAGGGTTGCTATGAGTTGGAGAGGACCCTTTGGCTGTGAGTAAAATGAATAAATAAATGAATAAATAGATAGATAGATAGATAGATAGATAGATAGATAGATAGATAGATAGACAGACAGACAGACAGGCTGACTCCTAACTTTCATAGCACAGGGCCAAGATCTGCATTGGATTCACATAACACAATGTTTCTGTTGATTCTAGTCTCACTAAGGTGCTTCAGAACTATCCCTTTCCAGGGTTAAGTTTAGAGAAGAGTCTGTGTACGATCATCTACTATAGTCAAAGCTAGTATTTTTGCTTATTCGTCTGATTGATTAATAACTTTCCCTTTTTATTCAACCTACTAAATATCTCCTTCTTGTACTCTTTAAGTGAGCTCCTTCCTTAGCAATAGGTGTGTCGTGTCAAAAGAGATTTCTGATTGGCTGCAGCTCAGCTAACCTTAATTGTAACTGTGCCCAACTCTACTATACCCTGACATCTGTTATTTTATCTCGGTTCATCCTGCCTCGCTCTTGAGCTCTATTGACTCTACACTCATGAAGACAACGGCCCTAGGTGGAGTCCGGGGATTTTTCATCTGGGCTCTCTTGATGATCCCTCGGGAATCACAAGCTATCAAAGGTAGGTGCAGAGAGAACCAATCAAAAGCCATAAGCTCTGATATCTTTGAAGAAATGAATTGTACACGTCTAGAAGACTATCCTTAGCACAAAAGGAAAGCGTGATGGGTATTATGTGGGGCTAAGTCTATGTGTGTAACAAATGGCAGCTTGGGTGAGGTCTCTCACCACAAAATGAAGTTCAATTTGGTTTATAAGAACAAAACTCAGTTGTAGAGGACTCTGTCTTTGATAGAAACCTGACATGAGAGAAAAAATAGTTTGTCATTTTTCTTTCTGAAAAATTAAGAAAATCAAAGACCTCACATAGTTTGGTGAAGATTGACTGATGAGACAAAGTATGAGAAGTTATTAACACATGTTATTTTTGACAAGGCTATCGAGGTGGTGCAAAGAGCTAAGCACTTGGCTGTTAACTGAAAGGTTGGTGGTGGCTTGAGTCTTCCCAGACACACCTCGGAAGAAAGGCCTGCCAATTTCCTTTGAAAAGGTCACAACTTTGAAAACCCCATGGAGTACAGTTCAATTCTGACACATGTGGGGTCTCATGTGTGGAAGTGGACTGATGGCAATGTTTGTGTGTTTGTTTTTGCCATGCAAATGCTATCAACAGGTGGTGAACCTAGACATGGTACTCCTTCCTCTAACAGTGACAATCCACCCTACAGTGGATCTCTTTTTTTTCCCTAGTACAAACCTTCCCAACGGGAAGGTGAGGATGGAGGGGGATGATGGACAGGACAGGACTTGTCTTTCGCAGAGGCCTTCGGTGGACCTTACAAAGATCTGATATTAATGTTTTATAGTGATGTTTCCAAGACCCTACAGAAATGAATGAGGGATTGAGGAATCGGATTTTTTCCTGCCATCTCAAGAGCAAACATGTGTGCTACTGAGAAGACCTGTAAATGAGTACTCTTCAAGCAGAATGACTCCCACAGAGGGTGGCGTGCATATTAGAAATATGCAAATTAACGATCAGGCTGTTAGACCACGTGGCCAACAGCAGTTTCCATGGTCCAGAAAGAGCCACGTACGAGGAGGCTCTCCTGAAAAGATAGAGGCTTTCCTCTTAGATTGTGAAGGAAAGCAAGAATGTGGGGAGGATGGGGGGAGCAGGGGAGCGGGGGTTGTTGGATCTGCAAATGTTAAATTAATCCCTAGGTTTATTAATATAAAACACCTCACGTGTCCCTAAATACTAGAGAAACAATCCCCAACTAATGCACACACACCATAGAACACACATACACTCCAATTGTAGATTTCCGTCTTCAAATTGATTATTTACTTGGTGTTGTCTGTTCTCAGTATCAACTACAATAGAAGATTTATGCGCCATAATGTTAGTCCCAATCTAGAGAGCATTAAGACGTAATTGGGCTTGCTGAGGTAAATCCAAACAATCTTTCTCATAGCGGCCTCTGTGACTTGGCGTGTTGTCAAGTTGTCAAGCATCAACTCTGGAGTCAGTTCCCACCCACAACAACCGTGTGTACAACAGGGTGACAAAATCACAAGGTATTCACTTTCTGGTTATTCCAGGCTCAGCACAAGTATTCAGTACAAAGCATCCCTGACCCTAAAGAGGGTCATTGTTTGTTCTGACTTATCTAGGTCAGAACACTGTTTGTTGTACACTGATTTATAAAAGTAAACTGCTTCACTTACCTCATTTAACCTTCAAAACAAACCACCATTACAGATTTATAATTCAAAGACCGCACTGAAATAAACAGAGCATTTTTCTCAAAATTCCTCAACAACAAGTAGCTGAATAAGAATTCTAGATTTAATTTGGGTTCAGAATTCACAACTCAACTTTTTTTTTTTAATCGTTTTATTGGGGCTCATACAATTCATCACAATCCACACATACATCAATTGGGTAAAGTACACTTATACATTTGCTGCCCTCATCATTCTCAAAATTCGCTTTCCTCTTGGGTTCCTGGAATTAGCTCCTCATTTTCCTTTTCCCCCTCCCCCTCCCACCCCGCTCCCCCTCCCTCATGAACCCTTAATAATTTATAAATTATTATTATATCTTATCTTACACTTCCCGGCGTCTCCCTTCACACACCCTTCTGTTGCCCATTCCCCAGAGAGGAGGTTATATGTAGATCCTTGTGATCAATTCCCCCTTTCTCCCCCCACCTTCCCTCCCGGTCTCGCCACTGTCACCACTGGTCCTGAGGGGTTCATCTGTCCTAGATTCCCTGTGTTTCCAGTTCCCATCTGTACTGCTGTGCATCCTCTGGCCTAACCAGGTTTGCAAGGCAGAATTGGGATCATGGTAGTTGGGAGGAGGAAGCGTTTACAAACTAGAGGAAGGTTGTGAGTTTCATTATTGCTATACTGAACCCTGAATGACTCATCTCCTCCCCACTACCCCTCTGCAAAGGATGTCCAGTTGTTTACAGATGAGCATTGGGTCCCCATCACGCACCACCCTCATTCATGTTGATATGATTCCCCCCTCCACCCCCCACTGCCTTTGGTGCTTGTAGCCTGAGCCCTTTGGCCCTTCATGATCACACATGTTGGTGTGCTGCTTCTATGTGGGCTTTGTTGCTTCTGGGCTAGATGGCCGCTTGTTTACTTTCAAGCCTTTAAGTCCCCCCAGACGCTATAGGTCTCCATAGCCGGGCACCACCAGTCTTCTTCACCACACTTACTTATGCACACATTCATCTTCCGCGTTTATGTGGGGAAGGTGGTCACACAGTGATGGTTTTTGTTCTTTGGTGTCTGCTACGTGATCCCCTCCACACCTCGTTTTCACACAGGCTAGTGTGCTTCTTCCATGTGGGCTTTGTTGCTTCTGCGCTAGATGGCCACTTGTTTGCCTTCAAGCCTTTAAGGCAGAACTCCACATTTTAAACAGCGTTTCCTTCCTTTTGGAGAATCGTGCTCTACGAAAAATATATCCTGGAACTCTCAGAACTGTATATAGAACTTTGCGAAAAAGAATTAGAAAATATTTCTCTTTGGAGTTTGGCATGCTGTGTTTTTAAACAAGGTTTTATGCCGCAACTAGTAACCTGAAGTCAAACAGTTTCACAAGACTTTAGATATATTAGCCCTCGTTATCTTTAGTTCAACCTTTCTAACCACCGCCCTTCCATCACCTCTCGAGCACCATTCAATAAGTAAATGCTTCACTCAAGTTTCATTTTCCCAAACTCAGTCTTAGTCTCTCCCTCTCCCTCCCTCTCTCTCCTGACTCCCATCCTGACTCCTTTTCGTGCCTTTTCAGCGGACCATGTGATCATCCAGGCCGAGTTCTACCAGAGCCCAGACCAATCAGGCGAGTTTATGTTTGACTTTGATGGTGACGAGATTTTCCACGTGGACATGGGCAAGAAGGAGACCGTCTGGAGACTTAAGGAGTTTGAACGTTTTGCCAGCTTTGAGGCTCAAGGTGCCTTGGCCAACATAGCTGTGGACAAAGCCAACCTGGACATCATGAAGAAACGCTCCAACAACACTCCCATCGTCAATGGTACCTCTCTCTGTTGTGCTCTTAGACGAGGGAATCTGTAGCTTTAAAACAAATGCTTCAGCTCTTTGTCTCCCAGAATTGGGACAGACTTTCCCCATGGGGTCACACAAGACGGCCTGGAGTCACCATGATTGAGCATCAACTCAACGGCAACTAACAGAAAACTTGCCATAAGCAAGCCCAAATAGCCATTACATGCGCCCAATGGGTTGGTTTCTTCTTTTATATAAGCATGTCTTCTATACCATTTACATCCACTCACAAGAGTCACTACCTGGAATCCATGTTAGGGAAGCCAATAATAAAGTCCTTGGGTACCTTACATCTCACTATTGGATCAGGTTTCATCCTTAAAAAAACAATGACCTTTCAGGGGTCACCCTCTTGAACTTGTGGTATATGGTTGTTTGGGGGGGAAACAAGGACTGATGAGCCTATAGAGTCAACAAGTGGATTGGGGGGCAAGGGCGCACAGAGAGAGGGGTGGAGTGAAGGGGTGATTATCTCAAGGGGTCCATCGAGAAGAAGAATGTTTGGAAACGCTGGTAACAAGTATACCATCCTGCTGGATGTGATTGAATTGTGGAATGAATTGATACATGTGCTAATCCCAATTGATAAAATAATAAAAATGACATATATGTCAAATACCTCATGATATGGGCAAAATTGGACTGTGGACCTGATGCTCAGCAAAGTTAGACAACCTTATAAGCACGCTTTATGACATATTATTTTAAAGGGAAAAATAAAAACAAAAGATGGTTTTCACACCAAAAGAAAAGACTACTACTGCAAGTCCAGGGTCAGTGGGGAGAAGAGGGGAAAAAACCGGAGGCGGGTTAGAAGGGATAATGGGTGGGGAAAGAAAAATAACCACATATATGGGCAGGTCAATGGGATATTTTTACCATTTTGATGAGATGTGCTATGCAAATACATCTAGTATGTTTATCTTTTGGCGTGTTATATTCTATAAATGAAGGGGGGAGGGACTAAAAAAGAAGAGTCCCAACCTTCAAAATCCTCCAGATTCCTTACCCGGCAAATCTAACTACTGGTCTGAGTGGTTAAAACAGGACAAGTACAATTGAAACTGATTTAAATAGGTTGTGACACACGAGCTAATTTATATATATAAATTATATATATATATAATTATCAGATTTATATATATAATCATATATATAATTATATATTTTTATATTTATATGTTATATATATAATTTTATATATATATATAATCATCAGATTTCAGGGCATGTCAAAGATTCTGAATACTCATGGCACAATTCCAACTCTTCTTTAGCAAGCGTTTGGACCACAATTCAGCATGGAAATCTAATTTCTGTCATATGTTTGTCCCCCCAGTACCTCCAGAAGTGACTGTGCTTTTGCACGACGTCGTGGAAGCTGAACAGCCCAACATCCTCATCTGTTTTGTTGACAAATTCACCCCCCCGGTGCTCAAAGTCACCTGGCTTAAAAATGGAGCACCCGTCACCACAGGAGTGTCCGAGACCGTCTTCCTGCCCAGGGACGACCACCTGTTCCGCAAGTTCTTCTATCTCCCCTTCCTGCCCTCGGCAGAGGACTACTACGACTGCCAGGTGGAACACTGGGGTCTCGACACGCCGATTCTCAAGCACTGGGGTAGGAGCCGTCCTTAGCTCCCTTGTTTCAGCTGATGTGCTTGTCTGGTCCCTTGGGAAGCGGCATTCCCCAACTGCTCTATGCCATCCGATTATAATCCAAATACCTTGTCTTCTTCAATCAGTCACCTTTTCCTCCTATCTAGTCAGCAATTCCTTCACTCTATCGTCCTATTTTCCTCTTCTTTAATTATTAAAAACTAGTCTCTTTACTAAGTCATTTATATTTGCTACCTCCTACCGCTATTCATGATCTGTGATCTCTTTTTTTTCTTTTTACCCCTAGAGTTTGAAGCACCAACGCCTTTCCCAGAGACAACAGAGAACGTGGTGTGCATCCTAGGCCTGGTCGTGGGTCTGGTGGGCATCATCGTTGGTAGCCTCCTCATCATCAAGGGTGTCCGCAAAGGCAATGCTGTTGAACGTCCCCGTGGGCCTCTGTGAAGCACCTGCAGGTGGGTTTGGTATGGTCCTAGAAAGAAATATATGGAGTTGGCCGAGTAGGGAGAAACAGTGGGAAAGTGGAGTGGCTCTAAGAAAAATGGATGCACAAGGCTGTGGCTCCTGATTTATATTCCTAAGGCAGAGTCAGACAGAGGTATTATATGGCATCTCAAAACCTCAGGCTCCCTCATCCCGTTGGATAGATATGCACCTAGACCACAAGTTAAATCTTGACATTCTCTCCAGTGCCTCGTAGCATTGTTTCACATTAGAGCAGTGATCTATGAACATCAGCTTCGAGATTTGGCCGCTTCCTTGCTCATGCGTCCTACGGCAGGCTGTCAATCGGGTAGCACGTACAGAGCTTGCACCCTTGGTGTTTACATGGATTCATGTCATGAAATAGAAATTTCACGGAGTCCAATAGCTGCTTTAGCTTCTCCGACCTGAAACGTGCTGTTGGGTGCTCTAAGCCAGCGGTTCTCAGCCTTCCTAATGGCACGACCCTTTAATCCAGCTCCTCGTGTTGTGGTGACCCCCAACCATCACATTCGTTTGGTTGTTACTTCATCACTGTCCTTATGAATCAGGCGACCCCTGTGAAAAGGCCGTTCAACCCTCAAAGGGGTCGCGACCCACAGGCTGAGAACTGCTAAGGTAAAGCCTGGCCCGCTCACTCATGCTCACTTGGAGAGTATAGCACAGCAGTGCACCTTGGAAGAGCTATATTTACTTCAGGGCAGGCGATCTTCAGAGCCTCATCCAAAGTCAAAATAGTCAAGGAGAAGAGGAGGGTATCTGAAGGAGAACAAAGCTCACAATATCCATCTTAAAACCCTTTCTAACTGTGTGTGTCCTGCTACAGATTGTGGCCATGAAGATCAATGGAGAAACGTCAGTGTTAACAGCTTTACAAAGTCAACAATAGCCCAGCTATTCACCTCAGTGAAGACAACCGTTCTTCAGCGCTTTGCAGTTGTAATATGAGCTCCAAAGGGGTGATCCCTTCCCCTGATCTTGCCGTTGTCTTCCATCTATCGGTCTATTGCAACCTTCCTGTTTGTTTCCCCTCCATGTTCTACTATCGGTTTAATGCCATTCAACACCTCTGGAAGAGATCCCAATTGGTTCATCCTCTGTTATGGAACATTTAAAACATTCCACCACGGGGGCATCTCCTGTGTGCATCTTGTTTGAGAGTTCTCCAAATTATTTGTCTGTTTGTTTTCATAAATGCAAAAACTATTGGGTGGGTATTAGGGGGAATTTTCAATGTCTGATCCAGTTCTTCACAGGGGAGGGGAAAATATGACTTCCTTCCATCACAAAATGTCTGATTGTATCTTATAAACATGGAATTCATCAGAAATGCCTGGGTTCACTGAAGCTTAGTCTTCCCAGTATCTGCAGGCAAACTGGGTTTTGTGACCCTGTCCTCATCTGGGAAACCATTGAGTGTGAGTTTGCTCTTGGGAAATTGTTACTGAGCAAAAGGCGTAGAATGGGTTTGGGATTCTTGAGCCCTCTATTCAACAAGCTATCTGGATCTTCTGTAGAGCAAGTCTCAAATTCTAGATTTGGGCCTATGATAAAAGGGGATCGATAGGATAGGGATAGAAGAGGGTAGAGTGGGTATCAGAATAAGAGATATCACCATCCATTCCAAGATATATATATATATATATGTTAATATATAATGTTATATATAATATATATATAATATATATATAATGTTAATATATATCAACATTACCCATTTCAGATTTAATAAGAAATGAGACTGAACACTAAGAATCAGAATTCCCCTTGATATTAGAAATAGTCCTTGATGTCTGCGTTAGAAGGAGAATATTCCAACTTATTCTTGGAACCATCTTATATTTTGAAATATTCTTCTGAGTGGAGAAAAGTGGAGGATGTGGCATTAAAATTGGAGAAAAGAATATTTGAGACAGTGAGATATAACTCATTTATCTGTGAAAAAAGTCTGAATGCGTATTTCTAAATTGGTTGCCAGAACCCACTCCAAGCTACAAAGGTAAATTACTTGTAACAATATGCTAGACTATTAAATGAATACTGCTGAAATTAGTTAGACTTGAACTTTAACTTGGCTCTATCATTTATAGGCTATATATTAACTTGTATCTTATTTAAAATAACTTGGCCTATGACTCCTCTTATAAAATACATCCATCACTATTTACTACAGTTACCTATTGTGAGAATTTAAAAAGAAAATGCAAGAAGACCAGTTAGGCAGCAAGTTTAGAAATAATCATGTTGTAGGTTTTGTTCATTCCATTGTTTTTCCTCAAAATTCCTACAACCTGCTCATAAAATCTAAGTTCATTGTTATTGAGTTGATGCTGATTCACAACGACCCTATAGGACAAGGTAGAACTGTTCCTCTGGCTTTCTGAGATTAACTCTGTAGAGGCGTAGAAAGCTTCAACATCCCCCTATTCATAGGCTGGTAGTTTTGTCCTGCGGGACTTCCAAGCAGCGACCCAAGAAGTAGCCCATGGCATCATCAGGACTGTTTGGTGCTAAAAAGGAGAAAAGCAAGCGAGTCAAACACAACGACAGTATGATCTTACCAGTAAATCGCAAGTTTCTTTACCTATGGTTTAAAGATGCAAAATAGAATCTTGAGGAAATTAGAACTAGGATACGCACAGGTGTTTCCTTTACATTATCCCAATTTTTCTGATTATAAAAAAGTAGAGAACACACCAAAACTCAGACCAGTACGGAATAAAAAAGAAAAAAACTAAACCATATCCGCTCATATAAGAAAGTAGATTTTTTTTAAATAGATTTTGTTTTTTTAGAAAAGTTTTACATTACCAAAAAAAAAAGTGGTGCAGAAAATACAAACATAAAGCCAAAGTAGTTATCAACGGGTTGCTGTGATTCGTGGAGATAGCATGTGCCTGAAAGTAGAACTGTATTCTATCAGATTTTCAACGGCTGTGACTTTAAGATTCAGTGGCCCTGCCTTTTTTTTTTTTTTTTTTTTGCATTGCCACTGATTGCATCTGAAACACACCATTTGCAGCACCCCGGAATCTCTGCAGAAAATCCAGACCGTTCCAAAAGCCTCCGGCCCCCCACCACATACACCTTTTGCATTCGTGTGATAGATTTGGTACACTTAAGGAATTAATATTGATCGGTATTATGAACTGATATCCACAGTTCACATTCAGGTTTACTCTGTGTTGCCTAATCCCATAGATGATGGGATAGATGCATAGCTGCATGGAGGGTGTCATGCGTTCACATTTCAGTATCATACAGAGCAGCGTCACGACCCTGTGCTCCTCTGATGAGGGCCTCTCTCAACCCTAGACTCTTGATCAGTCTACTTATCATCTCTATAGCCTTGTCTTTTCCAGAATTTCAGACTTGGATCCATACAGCATTGAGCCCTTCACAGGGGATTCTTCTGCTTTGTCACATGTATGTCAGGTTCTTTCAGGTCTTTCATCACTTGATAGCTCATGTCACTGGGTCATTAAATAACTCTCTTATGTATGATGGTATCACAGTTTTTTATTCATTCACCCATTGAAATGCATGGTTGGCAATTATGAATAAATCTATAAACATTTGTGGGCAGGTTTTTGTGTTGACATACATTTTCAACTCAATTGGGTAAATACCTAGGCGTGTCATTTCGGGATTGCATGGAAAACTTTTGCTTAACTTGTAAATAAATTGCCGTGCTGGTTCCAAAGTCTCAGATTATTTCACGCTTCCACTAGCAGTAAGTGACAGTTCCTTTGGGTCACATGCTTGCTTAGCACGTGATACTATCTTAGATTTTGTCCAGAAATCCTTAGTAGCAACCTCAGTTGGTTACACAGGGCCTGATGCTACTTCCTGTCCCCACCACTATTCGTCGCCGTTGTTGTTGTTGTTGCTGCTGTTGTTAGGGCCATTGAGTTGGTTCTGGCTTGTAGGGACCCTATGTAGAACAGAACGAAGCACTACCCCATCCTGGTCCCTCCTCACAGTTGTTTGAATACCTGAGCCCATCGATGCAGCCAGTGTCAATCCATCTAGTTGAAAGTCTTCCTCTTTTTTACTTCCCCAATACTTGAGAAAGCATGGTGTCCTTTTCTAGAACTGGTTTTTCCTGACAACCTGTCCAAAGCATTTGAGACAAAGTCTTGCCATTCTTCTCAAGGTTACCCATAGTTTGTTAGGGTCCACACAGTGAAATGCCCTGGCACACTTGATGAAACACAAGTAAGAATCTCTTTGGTAGTCTCTGCTTTTAGACAAGAGCCAGTTGACATCAGCAATGATAACCCTTGTTCCACATACTTTCTGATCTGGCCTGAACTTCTGCCAGTTCCTTCCCAGTGTACTGCTGCAATTGTTGGATGATCTTCAGAAAAAAAATGTATTTGTATGTGATAATAATAATATTGTTCTATAATTTAAGCATTCTGTTGGGTCACCTTTCTTTTGAACAGGTGCAAACATGGATCTCTTCCAGTCAGTTGGCCAGGTGGCTGCCATCCAAATTTCCTGGCATAGATGAGTAAATGCTTCCAGTGATTCATCAGCTTGTTGAAACATTTCAGCTGGTATTCCTCCAATTACTGGACCCGTGTCTTTGGATAATACTTTCAATGCATTTTGAACTTCTTCCTTCAGTATCATTGGTTCTTGGTCAGATGCTACCTCCTGGAATGGCAGAATGTCAAATAGTTCTTTTTTGGTACAGTCACTCTGTGTATACTGTCCATATTCTTTTGATGCTTCCTGTATCATTCAATATTTTTCCCACAGAATCTTTAAAGATTGCAACTCGAGGCTTGAATTGTTTCTTTAGTTCTTAAAGTGTAAGTTCTACTGAACATATGCTTTCTTTCTGGTTTTCTAACTTTTGAACTTTGCACATTTCATCATTATTTTACTGTCTTCCTGAGCTGCCCTTTAGAGTTTTCTGTTCAGCTCCAACTTCATCCTTTCCTCCATGTGCCCCAGCTACTCTACGATTAACAGCAAGCTTCAGAGTCTCTTCCGACATCCACTTTGGTCTTTTCTTTCTTCCTTGTCTTTTTTGCTTCCCACAAGTATAATATTCCTCATGCCACCCCACAGCTTCTCAGCTCCTCTGTCAGTGTTCAATGCATCAGATCCATTCTTGAGATACTCTTGAAATTTGAATTAGATATGGTCAAGGTCATATTTTGACCTTGGATTTGATTTCAATTTGAACTTATGTCGGAGTGGTTGATGATCTATTCCACAGTCATTCCCCATCCTGATTGTAGCTGCGATATGGAGGTTCTCCATTGTCTCGTCCACAGATGCAGTCAACTTCTTTTCTGTGCATCCCATTTGGTAAAGCCCATGTGCATGGTTACCTTCATTGGTCTTGCAAAAATCTATCATGTGATCTCTGGTTTCATTTCTATCACCAAAGCCATATTGTCCAACTACTGTTCCTTCCTCTCTGATTTCAACCTTTGTGTCCCAATCACCAATAATTATCAAGGTCTCTTAATTACCCGTTTGAACCGTTTCAGACTAAAGATATTGGTGGAATTCATCAACTTCTTCATCACTAACTTTGATGGTTGGTACATGAATTTGAATAATTGTCCTGATTGGATTTCCTTGAAAGTGGACAGACATAATCCTGTCACAAGACAGAATCTTGAAATGCCCTTTGTGACTATAAATGCAACACCATTCCTCTCAATTATTTCATTTCCAGCATAGTAAGCCATGATTTTCTGATTCTACAACTGTGTGGGCCATTTCTAGATATAGCTATCTTTCTATGTACATACAGACGTAGAAAGCATCACTGTTTTTACTTCTCTGGGGGACCCAGCCTAGCACAGTCTTCCTTGCAGGCATGTGGATATTATCCTATCACTGACCATGTTGACGGGACAGATCTTGAAATGTTCTCTTTGGTAAAACAGTGGGTCACCCAAAAAAGAAGACCATCAATGAGATGGGTTGACAAGGATCTGCAACAATAGCCTCAAACATAACACCAACTGTGACAACGGCACAGGGCCACGTAACATTTTGAGCCATTCTATAGAAGGTTGCTGTGAGTCTGAACTAATTTGATATCACCTTGAACAACAACTTGATAGATGTTATGCTTAGGTTTTTAACAAAAGACCAAACTTTCCCCAAAGTGGTTGTAATAGCCTAGATTTCCACCAGCATCAGGGTTACTAACCAAAGAAAAACAAACTCACGGAGATAAAGTCGATGCTGACTCATAGTGATCCCGTTAGACAGGGTAGAACTGTCAGGGCGAGTTTCTGCCTTTGTACAGAAATAGAACGCTTCATCTTTGTGCCTTGGAGCAGCTGGTGGTTTTGAACTGCTGACTTCACAGTTAGCATCCCAACACGCAACCGCTATGCTAGGGTGGTTTGTATGCATCAGGGTTTAGAAAGGTATTATTTTCATTCTTAAGCCTTGATAGAAAATATCATAATAGCAATAAAATGGATTTTATCAATTTTGGACTTCTTTCACATTTTGTTAAAAGGAATGAATTTATGGGAGATCTTAGTAGCAGCTAAATTATTTTCATTTATCTTGAAGAAAATCTTAAATGTTTTTAGCAACCAGTTATATGTAGAATCTGTTTCATGAGTGCATTTAGTTCACAATGAATGGAAACCAAAAATCTGTTTACCAAATTAAATGTATGGTTTATTATAGTTAGTCACTCCTTCTTAAGCTAATTTTTCAAAAATATTTCCCTAGAAAATATTGTATTCTTCATAAAATTAAGCCTCAGCAATTAACTTAGAAAATTCAACAAGCAATACTCTTGCTTACTTTTTTTATCATGTTCACACAAAAATTAAAATCTCAAAACATGAACTAATGCTGTCTAGCCGTCATGAAAAAAATTCCATTAAAAATACGGACAATCTAATAGTTTCAGGCACCTTTGTTTCTCGTGCTGGGTCTCTCCCATCTGCAGATCATCACGTATTTATCTTTAGTAAATGTGTATTTATCTTTAGTTAAAAAAAAGTAGACCACCCAAATTTGGGTGCATTAAAAGACTCTCTCCTGGCTCAGTTAAACACAAATAATTGTAGAATGGAGGAAACTCAAAGAAAAGCAGGCAAGTAATCAAGGAAATTTCCCAGATCCACATCAGACCAAACTTCACAAATGCAAGTGAAACCAAGTCTCTAATACTATAGCCCAGAACAAACAATTGTATTGTGCTACAGCCCTCTTTTCCCGCTACCGTTTTTAATTCTTTTTCTTGGTGTTGTAGGAAAAAGATCATTTTCAAGCCATCTTTATTTGTTAAAACTTTAACAAAGCAATGTAAATCAAAGGTGAGGTCAGATATATGGAAAGGAATAAGCATGGGGAAATTGTTTATTAATTGAGAAAAAAATGAACACAATATAAGGAACATCAAAGACCTCCAGACCAAGGCCAGGAGCTGAGGAAATCCATCAAGAAGTACGTTTCTGTATGATCACTGAAGCAGGAGCAAGCCAGATCCGGAACAATCACTCCTGGTAGAAGAATATGAGGGAAGCACACAATCTGTCATGCTAAGAAGAAACTAGGGCAGAAACTGCCTCCTGCGTGTCACCAACTTCACTTCAGCTCAAGGGCCCTGAAGAAGATAGAGAAGAACGTCGCATCAAAATCTAACTCTACAAGCAACTTCTTTTTAATTCTGAGAGAATTAAATCTCAGTCTAAAAGAGGAATGACATGTAATACCTGTTGTCTGAAGTCCAGAGTGCCCTGGGAAATAGGAGTCTATATGGTTACACAATATAGAGCCAAACCTGTCCCCCAAAACCAAGCCCTCAGTTCTAGATCCCCCCATCTGAGATGTCTCCAATACCACAGAAGAGAAGAGATGTGGGATACAAAAAGGCTTTTCCCCAGGTTGTCTCCCCCAAATATGTGTCAGACCGAGGACACTTGGTATACACTTGCAAGCAAGCTGGTTAGAAGTGATCTCCCTGAGGGCATTCATTCATATAGAGTAATCTCTCTATTGTCTGTCCCATGGCAGGCAGGCGGGACCCACTCCCTGCTGATAAGAATAGTGGATTGCTCTCCTGAAGGAGGGCTCAGAATTAAGTCTAGTCACACTCAAGGGCGATTAAAGTTAGGCTGCCATCTTGAATCTAGGATCCACCCTTCTTGTCACATGTGTACCCTAATCCCTCCTCTTCTTACTGCGTGGACACCCCTAGATCATCCCCCTCCTATTGCTGTATTGCCTATGGTACAACCCCTTCCTGTGACGTATGTGGTTCCCTGTAATCAGGGGGGCTTGCACGTCCCCCAAGTATATATAAGCCTCGGTTACAAATATATCCCCTTTCTCCTCCTCCCACTCTCTGCATGGACCTGGCTGCTGAGAGCATGGCCGTCCAGGGGGTGAGCATGCTACCATGAAACGTGTCTGACTCCTTTATGTTATCTTCTCTCCTGCCTCTCCAATGATGTTACTATGATCTTTATATATTATGACCACACAATTGCACCTACAGACCCAAGATATTGTCAGAGGCTGGTTACTCTGACAAAGAGAGACTAGTCTGAGCACTTGTACGCTGTCATCCAAATCAAACATGATTTTATTAATGTTAATGGCGCCTCTTTTATTTATCCCAGGATCTTGACCCAAGTGCTCCAGGCGTAGTCGTAGCCTTTAATTTACTCACATCATGGCCTCTTTATTTCTGAATGTCCAAAATATGGGGGTTGACTGGAAAAACCAAAGCTTTCCCCAGAGTCACTGCTGTACTGCTAGAAAATTAACTTGAAAATTAACTCAAACAAGGCCCTATTTCTCCCCTCAGAGGTATTCCTGTGGGGTATCAGCTCCCAAAAGATTCCTTACCGTTCAGATTCCTGAGTGGATGAACAGCCGCGCCCCAAGGAAGAGCAGACCCAGAACAAACCCTCCAGGGCCGCTCGGCATCTTGCTCTGTGCAGATTCAGACTGTACTCCTAGGAGAAGAAGCCAGAATTAGTGGTTTTTACCCCAAAACCAACTTCTCTGATCGAGACCCTGAGATCAGAGGTTTGAGAATTGGGGAGGGTGTTGTTGTCTTGACAACACAGAATTACTGGACCCCTTTGGGGAAATTCTTTAATGTGCGCTGAGTAAATACAAGGTTTGGACACTCAATCATTAAATGTCACAGCTTGACATAAGGCATGACCACAACATCAGACTTAGGAGGAGCCTGGGACTCATAACGTCCATCAGCTCATCTAGAAGGACAGAGCTCATAAAAGACAGAGCTGAGACTGCATTGCCCTCAAGTCAAGCAGAGCCTCACACTGCAAAGGATGCTCTTCTCCGATCACAGTATCCATGCAGCTCAGAGGGAAGAAGACGGCTAGCCCCAGAGGAAGGCCTGGTACCCAGGGCCAAGAAGGTGATTATGTCCTGTGATGGCATGAGAAGATTCAAAACAAGCTCTTTTCTGCTTGCCAAGCATCATTGCATTCCCCGTGGATTAGGTACTTGTGGAAAGAATCATACAACGACCCTCTGTGACCTGGGCTGAAAGAGCAGAGAGCATGGAGCAATGAAAACAGTGTGGAAGAAGGAGAAACAAATCTGGCATTCAGGGATATGCAGACGCTCTCTTCTCGGTGAGTGAAAAGAGTCTGAAGTCAGTTAGCTTTTAATTCCATTCCACTGTGAGCAAGCTTAGCAGGTTCAGGTGTTCCAAGTGGCAGGTACAGACCTCTCCACTCTGAAGAATGGTTTCGAGCATCACCAGGATCTGAAAGGTCCAATTTCCATTTTAGATCAGGCCTGGGAAGAGAATCCCAGCCTGTTCTTCCTGGCCATTCTCAAACCATATGATTTCAATGTGGCCTGGATAAAAACCATTCACAGAGCAGACCGGGAGGCTGTGATGCTGCCGCCGCTGAGCCCTCTCAGGACGCACAGTCACCATAGGCTCACCGAGGAGAGAAGTGGCAGGGACATCAGTGAGCATGACAGAGGACGCCTGGTCTTGCTGCCTCTGTCTCTCTTCAAGCCCTGGCTCAAGTTGCGGTCAGGGCTCTGTCAAAACTGGCTATGTGGCCATATGAGTTAGTATGTGATGGGCCTTGAAATAAATCTATAGATATGGCCCATTGGGTTTCAGACACATGAGTAAAATTGTTAATTTTTTATTAATTAAAACTTTTGATTCATGATTTGATTGTTTCAATATTTTTGCAAGGCATGAGGTGTATCATTAAATCGCTTGGTTTTTAATGTCAAGGAGGCTAGGTTAAAATGCAGGCTATATCTCTCACAGGATGGTCCTGCGGGATTTTGTTGTTGTTGTTGTTGTTGTTGTTGTTTTTCAGTTCCTCTGTGACAGCTTTCCAACCTATAAAAAGAGATGATAAAAGCAAATTCCTTCTTAAGGTTGTGTGGGAATTGATACAATGAAAGTTTGTAAAACAGTTACTGGAACTTAGCCTTCAATACATGTTAGGAAGTTACTATCCTTGTTTACTCTGAGAAAAGATGTGAGTCACAATAGCATGGGTAATGATGCTCACCTTCCCGACAGGATTGCTGAAGACAAAGCGGGTGCATAAGCAAATGTGGTGAAGAAAGCTGATGGTGTCCAGCTATCAAAAGATATAGGGTCCAGGGTCTTAAAGGCTTGAAGGTAAACAAGCAGCCATCTAGCTGAGAAGTAATGAAGCCCACATGGAAGAAGCACATGAACCTGTGTGATCACAAAGCGTGGAAGCAATCAGGTAGCAGGCATCAAATAACAAAAAATCATCTCAGGGTAAATGAGGGGGAGTATAGAGTGGGGACACAAAGCCCATCTGTAGGCAACTGGACATCCCCTTATAGAAGGGTCACAGGGAGGAGATGAACCAGTCAGGGTGTAGTGTAGCAACGATGAAACATACAACTTTCCTCTAGTTCTTTAATGCTTCCTCCTCCTCACTATCATGATCCCAATTCTACCTTACAAATCCAGAGGATGTACACCGGTACAGATAAGAACTGGAAACCCCTCAGGACCAGTGGTGAGGGTGGCAATACCTGGAGGATGGAGGGAAGGTGGGGTAGAAAGGGGAAACCAATTACAAGGATCTGCATATAACCCCCTCCCTGGGAGATGGACAACAGAAAAGTGGGTGAAGGGAGACATTGGACAGTGTTAGGTGTGAAAAAATAATAATTTATAAATTATCAAAGGTTCATGGGGGGGGTTGGGAAGGGAGGGGAAAAAATAAGGTGCTGATACCAAGGGCTCAAGTAGAAAGAAAATATTTTGAGAACAATGAGTGCCACAAATGTACAAATGTGTTTGACACAATGGATGGATGGATGGATGGATTGTGATAAGAGTTGAACGAGCCCCCAATAAAATGATTTAAAATAAATTTTAAATTTTTTTAATTTTTATATAGCATGGATAAATTGGGGGACAGCAGTGGGATAGGTGGGGAGATAAAAGAATGAAGTTTTAGAGCTCTACCTTGATACACTTATATCTTTAAAGCCACAAAACATGGTACTACCACCAGGAAGCAGAAATAGAGGTGATTCTCTAACTGTGAGTTGAGTCCCAAAGAAAGTATGCCCTCCCCTCTTTCAAAACACATGCATTTGGTATTGAAATAGATACTCTTTTACAGTTGTCTCAAAACTGGATAGTGTCATTAGTAAACTGCTTAATGCTTTAGATAATCTTTGATACTAGCAAACCCCCAGTAGATTTAATTATTTGTTTGAAAGGAAGAATGGAAGACAAAATTTTCATAAAACCAAAATGGCAGATGTAAGACTAGTGGTAAATCATTACGAGCAATGTTGCCAACTATCTAATTTAATGTTTAAATTTTTTAACAGTTTTATTGACATTTCATCCACATATCATACAATTCAAAAGTTCAAAGAGTTTCACGAACTTTACTGCAATCAACTTCGGAACATTTGCTTTTTTTCTTTTACTCATTGTTATTCAGGTAATTTTCTTCAATTTTGGCAAAAATATACCCAACATTCTTCAACTCAACAACTTCTGCATGTACAATTCAGTGCCGTTGATTACGTACATCATGTTGTACAACCATCAGTGATATCCCTCTCCAAATTGCTCCACCACCATTAAATGAACTCAGTGCCCCTGGGTTAGTCTGGGCTGACGAAAGAACAGATCCAGAGACACTCATACGTGTGGAAGAGAGTTTTGTATCCAAGAGTAATTGTTTTTTAAGAAAACATCTCAACCCAGTCCAGATCAAATCCATAAATTCGATATTAACCCACATGTCCAATACTAGTCCATAAATTCTTCTACAGACTCACACAACACATGCAATGATGCCAAAAGCAGGAAGATCACAGTACAGTGGGTGAAAAGTCTTGTGAAGAGTCTCAGCGCTGGCACAGCTCTCCATGCGGCTCCTCCAGCTCCAGGGTTCTGGCTGCCATCAGCAATGCTCCATGTGGCTTGTCAACAGGAATGTGTAGCAGAGAGAGTGTGGGACCCACCTCCAGGGAGGAAGACAGGAATTCCCAGAATCCTCAGGAGAAGGCCATGGCCACACAGAGGCATCATTGGCTATGACCTGATTAACAGGCTACCCTTCACCCCTGAGCTCAAGTTGACCTGAGATTATGTCACTGCCGCACCCCCTAAGCAAAAACTCTTTCTCCTTCATTCACAGTAATGATAGGTCAATTTTGGTATCTTTCTTTCTTAGTAGTTTTCTTGATATTATATTCACATATCATATACTTCCATAGTTAAACTACTTCTAAAAAGAGTTGTATACACATCACCACACTCTGCTCCAATGCTCCCTCCCACATCCACTCATCGCTCCCCTCCCCTTTCCTTCCTCTCCCCTGCCCCCCTAAACAGCTGCATCGGTGATTGGCTCTATGCATCCACTCCTGTGTTTCCTAAACTGGGAGATCTACCAGAAACAATAAAATACAAAACGAAACAGAAAGAAGAAAATGATAATAATATAAAAGTAAAAACAAAGAGTAAGAAAGAAAAGGACAACAATATTATAATACTTAAAAAGACAGGAAGAAATATGCCTTGGAACAATCAAGAAATACTTGAACATAGGGCCAATTTAGGTTGGGTAAAGAGGAAGGCTGACTGGCCAAGTAACATGTTAAACCACAGTTGGATCCACCATAATCAAGTTTACAATGATCTCTAAGAGTAACCTGTTTGAGTTCCTCACCTGTGACTAAAGAGAACCTGCCAGAGGTCCAATACAACCTGCAGATGGATCATGGGTTCCCACCATCCTCCATCACCTTCTACAAATTGGGTATAAATTTAAGCTCTAATACCGTTCCCTTTGTCGTATTTGAATTGTGTTAATGCCATCTTTGGATCACATGTGGACTTAGTTGAAACCTCACTAAGTTGGCTGCTTGTTTAAATATAAGCCAGATACTATTCCAATTGATAGCTGGGCACCATCTGCTTTCTTCACCGCACTTTGCTGTAACACCCTTATCTTCAGTGATCACTTCATGAAGGTGAGTATCGAGCAGAACCATGTTATAAGAACTAACGGTTCTTGGACTAGGGCTAGAATTACAAGGGACCCCAGAATCCATTTCCTTGTCCCTGAGTTATGAATGATTCTGACTTACTTTGGCAGTTACAGTATAACAAAAACAAAAACCAGAACCAACAACAACAAAAACATTAAAAACCAAAGAGAAAGAAAAATTTGGTTAATCATCCCCTTAGGGTAGAAGGCAATTGCATTGATCATATCAATAATTTAGCCAATGACATAGAATTTAAGATACTGTTGATAAGAGGAGTTTATGTAAGTATAGTCCAACCTCAAACTGTAATTCATGAGTTTTTGCTTTGTACTGATTGATTTTTTAATTGATTGAGCATGGGTGGTGGTGCTAGAGGACAATTTCCTGCATCACCTCTTGCATCTCAGAGACCCTTGCCCCTCAGACTAAAACCTGTCTTATGAATGCAAGGGGGGCATTGAGGCATGGAGTACATGGTGATTCTGGGCCTCCTTTCGTTAGGTACCCACTAACCAGGTGTCCCACCTAAGGTCCATCGATCGCCATTTCCACAGTCTTGGGGGCTATTCCTTGCATCCTCTCCCATCAAGGTATTTCAGTCTTTTTTTTGTTTCTTCATTTGTTTTGTTTTGTCTTGGTATTTCAGTCTTCAGGCCAAGAGTACACCATATATACTCGTGCATAAGCTGAGTTTTTCAGCTTAATGCCATTTTTGTGGTAAAATTAGGTGCCTAAGCTGATATTCGGGTCACCTTAGACTTAAGTATATACAGTAGTTTTTTGGGGGGTAAGGTCCAATTTGTTCAGTTGGTCTTCCACAGTGGGTCCGTCTAGTCTGGCCCTTGAGGGATTAAATTCTTAACATCAAAAATAACAATTTCTAGATAAACAGAAATTAAATTAATTTGGAGGTGGGGGGAACAGACCAATCTTGCAAAAAAAAAAAAACTACAGGGATTCTTCTGAAAGAAAATCAATACCAGCAAACAATGATCTGGGATTAACAAGCATAAAAGCATCATTTACAAGCCAACCCAGGTACAGCAGTATACAGAGTAAAAAAATTAATAAAACTATAAGAATAACAGATTGAAACATACAACTTTCCTTTAGTTCTTTAGTGCTTCCTTCCCCCACTATCATGACCCCAATTCTACCTTACAAATCCGGCTAGACTAGAGCATGTACACTGGTACCGATAAGAGTTTGAAACACAGGGAATCCAGGACAGCTAAACTCCTCAGGACCAATAATGAGAGTAGCGATACCTGGAGGGTAAGAGGGAGGTAAGGGGAGAAAGAGGGAACTGATCACAATGATCAACATATAACCCACTCCCAGAGGGACAGACAACAGAAAAGTGGGTAAAGGGAGACGGCGAACGGTGTAATACATTAAAAAAAAAAGTTCTACATTATCAAGGGTTCATAAAGAAGGGAGGGGAGGGGTGGGGGGACATGAGCTGATCCCAAGGGCTCAGGTAGAAAAAAAGTGTTTTGAAAATAATGATGGCAACAGATGTACAAAAGTGCATGACGCAATGTATACATGTATGTGTGGCCTGTGATAAGAGCTGTAAGAGCCCCCAGGAAAGTGATTTTTTTTTAAAAAAGAGGAATGTCATAACGA